GGGGGCGGGCCAGCCTGGAGGCAGGGGCAGGAGAGGGCGCGGGGTGTTGGCAGCAGCAGCCTGGCCAGTTCTCGGCTGCCTGCCTGCCTTCCTGAAGCCCGAAATCCTCCGGGGTTTGTTGCGCCCACAGATTGATGAACCAAATTCCTTCGGAAACACTGCACTTCACATTGCCTGTTACATGGGCCAAGATGCCGTGGCCAACGAGCTGGTCAATTACGGCGCCAACGTCAATCAGCCTAACGAGAAGGGCTTCACCCCTCTGCACTTTGCTGCCGTCTCCACCAATGGGGCCCTGTGCCTAGAGCTCCTCGTGAACAACGGGGCCGATGTCAACTTTCAGGTCTGGCACTGAGGGGTTGAGCTCAGGGATGGGGAGAGCTGGGAGCCAGGGGGGGAGCTCGGGGAGGGTGGTTGGAAGCCTGATGCGACGTGGCTTCTGCTCTCCACAGAGTAAGGAAGGGAAGAGCCCTTTGCACATGGCTGCCATTCACGGACGGTTCACGCGTTCACAGATCCTCATTCAGAATGGTGAGTGGCTTCTTCCTCGGGCCCTGGGTTAGCCCAGCCTTTTCTTCTGCTTCTCAGCACCTGCCTCCAGCATCTCCCTGCGTGTTTGCTCGGAGGGTTTAAGAGCTCTACAATTATCACTCAAATTCCCTTCTGTGCTCTTGGGGCTGTTGCCGGTGGCCCTGTGCTGCTCAGGGGTGGCAGGGAGCGTGCGTGCCCTCAAGGGCAGCGAAGTGAAAACCAGGGGACTGAAATTCCAGCCAGGTCAGAGCTGCTGCGGCCAAAGAACATTCCCACTGCCACGTCCAGCCTGAAAGACAATATTGATGTAAGAGGGCTGCAGGCTTGGCAGATGCCCCAGGGGTTCAGCTGGAGAGCTCCGGGGCTGAATGCATCCCTTCCTGGGGGAAGAGGGGAGATCTAATCCCCCAGGCTTGCAGGGTAGAAGTGGGCTCTCAGCTCAGAGAGCAGTTTACAGTTCTCCTTCTGCACAATGCTGAACGCACTCGAGTTACTAGCTGTGTCCCCGAGATGGGGCCGTGGCCGTAGGAACAGCTGGGACTGCTCGGGACCCGCTGGCAAAGCACTTGGCTTTTCCTTTCTAGGCAGTGAGATTGACTGTGCTGACAAATACGGCAATACCCCCCTCCACGTTGCTGCTAGATATGGCCACGAGCTGCTAATTAGTACTTTGATGACGAATGGTGCTGACACTGCAAGGTAAGGAGGGACTCTTCCTCCCTTTCCCTGCCCTGGGCTGGAGGATGCAGAAATGATCCTCCCTGACTCCCTTCTTGTCTCCTGCCAGGCGTGGGATCCACGACATGTTCCCTCTGCACTTAGCTGTTCTCTTTGGATTTTCAGACTGTTGTCGTAAGCTACTTTCCTCAGGTGAGTGGCTTGGCCGCCCCTCCTGTGGCAGGGGGCACTCGGGGGACCCTCGAGCTTCCCCCTGACTTCCTGCCCCTCCTGCCACCCAGGTCAGTTGTACAGTATCGTCTCCTCGCTGAGCAACGAGCACGTGCTGTCTGCAGGCTTCGATATCAACACCCCTGACAACCTCGGGAGGACTTGCCTCCACGCTGCTGCTTCTGGAGGGTGAGCCGTGCACGGAGCGCTGGTCCCACCCTGCGCGCAGGAAGGCTGCTGCCTGCCCCCAGCCCAAACTGTAACCCTCCTCTCCCCCCGTGAGCTACAGCACGGGCAGCCAGTGCAGCACTTTGGTCAGGACTGGGAGTCGGACCCGTGGGTGCTGCTCCCGGCTCTGGGAGAGAGCAGAGCAGGAATGAAAATGCCCCTTTTGGCCCCGTTCTGCCGCTGACTCTGTGACTCATCCTGGTCACTCCCCTCCATGGCTGTTTGCGCTTCTTTAAAATGGGGCTAAAATGGCTGGGGGTTCGCGAAGGGCTCGCAAGCTGATGCCTGAAAAGCAGTAGGGATTTAGTTGGCTGTGTAAATGCCTCGTGTTGTTTGCCAGGGGGTTTGATTTCACATGGTGTTGAGAGTGAACGAGGCTGGAGCAATACGGCAGAGGTGTAGAGTCCCATCAAGGACCTCGTTTCTATTATGTCTGTGCGATGCTCAAGAGCCAGCCGTGGAGCCGTCCTTCGGCATCGCAGCGCTGCTACCCTGCCTGAGCGGCAGGAACAAAGCACTGACGCAGGAGCCAGAAATCCTAGGTCTTTTTTGTAGCATAAAATCTAGTGCGTCAGCTGCACTAATGCTGCGGCTAATGTCTCTCTATAATTGCCTGGTTGTTTGAGAGCTTCACGCGGTGCAGGATAGTGCTGGTAAGGCAGGAAGCATGAAGGGTTATTTCACTGGAGAGCAGGAGAGAGCTTTGTGTATGCAGCATCCAGCCATGGCTGTGGCTCTTGTGCTGCCCAATGACAGACTGAATTGAGCTTCAGCACGTCCAGGCTGTGCGGGCGAGAAGCGCTCTATAATTGCCTGGTTGTTTGAGAGCTTCACGCGGTGCAGGATAGTGCTGGTAAGGCAGGAAGCATGAAGGGTTATTTCACTGGAGAGCAGGAGAGAGCTTTGTGTATGCAGCATCCAGCCATGGCTGTGGCTCTTGTGCTGCCCAATGACAGACTGAATTGAGCTTCAGCACGTCCAGGCTGTGCGGGCGAGAAGCGTAGCTGCCTTGTCTGCAACTAGG